CCGTTAACACTGCAGTGGAAATATAAAGAAAAAATCACGTCACCTCCCAACTGTCAATGAATTTTTCTAAACACTGTTTCGCTTCATTCGTCGCTTCACAGCTAGTCCAAACATAACTTTAAATTTCCCAAAGTCAAACAAAAATTATCCGCAGTTACATCTTGCAAAAAAAAAAAACCAAAACAAAATAAAACATGCTTGGGGGCGCTAACAAACACGACCAATGATATACCCCAAGATTACTTCTCGTCCGGTACATTCATCATGAATCTGGACTACGGCAGCGACCTAGACCGACAGGCTAATTTTATGAAAAATCTTCATTCCTGAATAAAAAAAATGTCATAGGAATGTGCAAACCTACCAAATCTACAATTCTCACTCTACAAGCATCCTATGTAGCGCTGCATATCCGAGTTTCATGATTCGGAATTTGCTATCTCATCGTCTAGTAGGTCCAGCAGACACTTCACCAATCAGCGTGTGACAATCGATAGAACATGGTTACAGTTGCGCACACAGGGACAAGGACAGAGAAGATGAACACATAGACGACAGACAAGCGCACACTCACAACTCATGTATTAACGAAAGAGGAAGAGAAAGTGGTACAGAACGCGGAATCCGCTCGACGTTGGCCACACAGACACAAGGGACCACACGCCCGAGGGTTTGAGGGGGACACGTAAAAATACTTACATGAAAAAGATTTTAAGAAGGCAAATTCCTCCTCTGTTAATGAAACAGACGGAAAGCTAACACATCGCTCGCCCATGCTTAGGATAATGAAAGCTTTAAAAATCTCTCTGATGTGTTTTTATCGGTATCTGCCTATTATTTTGGTTTTCGCTAAGGATTACAGTGCAGTGGTAGATGGCCCCCAAGCAGCACGGATTTTGGCCAAGCAATGACCAATGTCTGGCGATGGTCTTTTGGCCAGTGGCCAGAAAGTGGCCATTCATTGGCCAATGCTTGGCCGATGGCTGATGGCCAGTGGCCATTGGCCAATGGCCAGATAAAGGCCGGTCACCGGCCAGTCTCTGGCCACTGTCTGGCCGCTTCGCAAAGGACCATTCCCAGCCATTAGACGATGACTGGCCAACTCCCACCGTAGACTTAAGAGAGAGATTGTGCTCTCGTAGCCGGTCGTTCACACACCGTCCAGTCTGTCCAACGTAGCTTTTAAAACATGAAAGGGGGTACTATACACTACACTCAGGGAGCAGGGCACATAACAGTGGGAGTGGTTTTTGTGGCACATGTGTCTTTTTTTAATTGTTTAACCTAGCATGAACTTTTTGACAAATTTGAGCCATTGTATGGGGGGCTGACATCACCAAAGGGACCCCGTACCGGCTAGCCACGTTTTTAAGATTGTGGGAAATTTTATGCACATAAAACCAACCACCAAGAAGAGGTCCTGAACATCCACGCTGAATACACTGTGATTGCTAAAGTCATTTGTCTTCAGAAATTCAAGAACAGCCTCTGAATTGCTGATCAAAAAGGGGTCGTTAATTTTTAACCCTGAAAGGTGTTTCTGCAGATATGTCGACACTTGCCGTTGCCACGAACCTCTTTCAGTGACAATAGCTTGGAATGGGCAGCGTGGATGTTCAGGACCTATTCTACTCACTTCCCCATGATTCCTTGCTCGCCTCTGTCAAGTACTGCATTGAGTCACATGATGAACTTTCGTTCTGGAACTCAAGTGGGGTAACGCTGGAAAGTTTCCTAGAACTTCTCCATTTCTATCTTAATTCCACTTTCATAGGGTAACAAAATGGGGTTTATTTATAAAAGTCGGGTCTGTGCATTGGCTCATGTGTAGCACCGGCTTTAAGCCATATTTTTCTTTCGGGTGTTGACCGTGCTATTGAGTCTTCCATTGATCCTACGACTGTAACAAAAGTGTTTAGATATGTCGACGAATTCCTGCTGGTGCACAAAAAAAAAACGGTCGGTGATGATGTTGTCTGTAAGACAATGGACATTTTCTACAAATGTGGTTTATGACTTGTCTTTACCTGTGAAACGCAAAAAGAAAGAATTTTGCAATTTCTGGACCTTTCGCTTTCCCTGCTACCCAATCACCTGAGCTGGACCTTTTCCCCTCGTTCCAAGAAAGGCATCCTAAACTACACGTCCTCTCACTCCAAAGTCGTTAAAAGGTGTATAGCTATGTCATGCCTTACAAGCGCCTTAAATAAGTCTTGTTTTCAAACCCTCCAATGTAGTTTTGAAGCTCAAATTGAGAGGCTGACATCCGCCGGCTTTCCAATGCAGGTGCTGACTGAGGTAGTGGGAACACTGGTCAAGAGAGTGAAGTGAGCTCAAAAACCTAATCCCACTTTTGACAAAAAAAGAATTGTTGTAGTCCCGTATATGCACAAAAATTTCCCATAATCTTAAAAAGGTGGCTAGCCGATACGGGGGTCCCTTTGATGATGTCAGCCCCCCAAAAAAATTGCTCACATTTGTCAAAACGTTGATGCTAAGGTAAACAATTAAAAAAAAAACATGTGCTACAAGAACCACTCCCACTGTTATCTGCCCTGCTCCCTGAGTGTAGTATATAGTATCCCTCTTTCAGGTGGTAAAAGCTACGCTGGACAGACTGGACGGTGTGTGAACGACGGGCTACGAGAGCACAATCTTTCTCTTAAGTCTGCGGTGGGGGGCCACCCCTGCACTGTAAGTCCTGTAATTGTACGCCATCCTTAGCGAAAACCAAGATAATAGGCAGGTACCGAAAAAAACACACCAGAGAGATTTTTGGAGCCCTCATTATCCTAAGCATGGGCGAGCAATGTGTTAGCTTTCCGTCTGTTTCATAAACAGAGGAGAAAATTTCCTTCTTAAAATCTTTTTCGTCTGGGTAATTTTACGTGTCCCCCTCGAACCCTCGGGCCTGTGGTCCCTCGTGTTTGTGTGGCCAACGCTCGAGCGGATTCCGCGTTCTGTATCACTTTCTTTTCCTCTTTCGTTAATACATGAGTTGTGAGTGCGCGCTTGTCTGTCGCCTACGTGTTCCTCTTCTCTGTCCTTGTCCCTGTGTGCGCAACTGTAATTATGTTCAATGACTACCAACTCGACCAACTGTCTACTCTACTACAAGCGATAGAAAACTGACGAAACATTATCAACACAAATGATTCCCCGGGGATTATAATATCTCACCCTGTTCCTCCTGATGTGAGAATATATTGCACTGATACTCCTTGAATTGATTTTGTTCTTCGTATTTTTATTTCTCATTTAGATGCGGTCCCGCCGCAAAGCTGCGGAAAGGATGCAAAAGCCTCAAGGGATACGGCTCTTACCCCCAATGTTGCGGTTTCGTCACTTGCGTCGCGTAGCTCGATGGTACGTTGTACCTTCATGTAGGTATTCCAAATCAAAAGAAACCAAAAGCAAGAAATAAAACATCAGTGCCAATATTCACGTAATCTTGTTCTCCAAACCTACACCACCCAGATAAGTGTGACTTTCATTTCTTGAATAAAGCCTAGTCCTTAGAAGAAAATCGAATTTCCGGCCGAGGTGCTCACGCAATGGGACTCGAGTCGAAAGATCACCATCTGGTCCAAATCAATCTTCAGTCGTCTGTCGGGGCAGGCCAGAGTCCCTAGGCGATCGTTTTGGCGCAACAGCTTGACAAAATTTGTTTTTTTTGTCCTTGACGAAAAAAAAATCTAAGTAAATCTTTCCACGTTGAGTTCCAGTTGCTGTTGTTGTTGTTTTACGAATCTGACGTCTTCTCCGGGTCGTTATTCTTCTAAGTCGTGACGTGCAGCTCCCAGCAAACATCTAGTGACATCAAAGGGAGCGTACGGAGTGTGTTTGGCGCTAACAACATCAAATTTCAGGCGTTCGAACGAGGAGGGCATCGCCACCGAAACAAGGCGGCGGAAGGTTTCGGTCGCCTCGTCATGCACGAAAAAAGAAATTCCTACTGTCGTGTAGGGGGTGAAATACAGTTGACGTTACTAGAGGGTTTTCCGGAGCTCGCAGCTGCTGCCATTCTGTCTAGCTAGGCGCGCACCGTAGCCCACGACGTCTTCTACCCCGTTTCGTGATGGACCGTAAGGGACGTTAAGAGCCAAAACGAAGCCAATCCAATGCTGCACGAGGGTCACGTGACTCTCGGGGGGTTCGCAGCCACCCGCCAGGCGGTGCATAGTCGTGGCACCCGTTCGCAGCTCTGGATTATCTGGTAGGATAAACTCCAGACACGTACACGTTACAGAAAAAAAAAATCAACTATAGTCCGTTGCAACTCATGATGAGTAGGGCGAGGGTAAGACGGGCCGGAGAGGAGGAAGCAGACGGTAAGCTGGAGAAGAGAGGGGGAGACCTTCTTCTCTCTTTAGGGTTCCGTCTGCTTTCTCCTCCCCCGGCCATTCTTGCCCTCACCCTACCTTCTCGAGTTGCAACGGACTAGAGATAAAAGTAACGCGTTACGTACACATCGCGACACTGTTAGCGCGAACACGACATCGGCGCATTTTCGCATTTTACTTCTAAATAGTATTAACGAGCACAAAATTTTATTGCTTAGATAATATAACTAAATGAGCTCTTTTCCGTAGCAATAATAACCTGGATGACATCCCTTGGTCTGAAAGAGAAAAACTGGAACAACCGGCGATCGCTTGTTCGCGCTAACAGTGTCGCGCTCTGTACAAGTCTGGATAGCTCGTAGCGTTCGCCGCAGTCCATCGTAAGGTGAAACGAGGAATATAACATGTCAAGCTTGCGCAGGCGTCGCTTTCTGACGGGCCGTCACGGACTGTCCTGGCACGTTCGTGATTATCGGGGACAGCAAAGCGCGGACCCTTTAGGCTCGCTCGTAAATTCTCGAGCTCCGGCCGCAACGTATAAAGGTCCATCTCATGTGGGCCGCCAAAGAGGGACATCGGAGATCGAAGGGCGTCGAGGGAGCACGCGTTCAATATATACATTTATTCGCTGTTCAACCGAAGTTCACCAGAGCCGATATGCAGATGCTGGCAACGGTGCTACTCGTACTAGCACTCGCTGGAGTGGAGCTGCTGCAAGGGGCCTTTATGAGTAGCGGTGGTGAGTGTGATTTTTTGACTTGAGTGGGTCGTCATTTCTGTTTTAGAAATGCACTACCGCAACCTTTACCCTTATTTTTTTTAAGAGATACAAAATTAGTTAACTGTTCAGCTTAAACAAAACTATAAAAAAAAGTCGCTGGCTAGGTGGCGCAAACCACCGCACGATTCAAACGTGTTCAGCCGTATTCATGCATTCATCCATCTATCTAGCACAGCGGTGGTATCACCGAGGCTTATCAGCCGTCACAACAGAACGTGTGCGTCTGTAGAATCTATTCTGGTCAAAAACGCGACCGAGTTAACTCCTCCCCTTGGGTACTGCGCGCTCCCATTGGCCACAGGCGCGCGTGATAAGTCCACGCTGTTGCCATAGGAAACGTTATAGTGAAACACGAGAGCAACCGTTTGATCCATTTTCGAGTACGGATTGTGACGACATGGTAACGTATGACCACGTATGGCCACATACCTAAAACAGCGCACAAGCACACGAGAAATAAGATAAAAGACAGGAACGATTGGTGACTGCCAACTTATGTATTGTGAAAGAAAAAGAAAGAGGAAGCTTCAGACATGATGCTTACACGCGCCCAGAAGGTAAAAAAAAAAAAGAAGAAAAACTGACGCATTTCTTCTTCCTTCTTTTTACCTTGTGGGTGCGCGTGAGATTCATGTTTGAAGCTTCCTCTCTCTGTCAGCGCTCTTTCCTGTCTTCTATTTTCTTCCTGCTGTGCTTGTGCGCTGTTTTAGGCATGTCTTTAAAATACCTGCTTGCTGAACTTTCTACATTACTACGTATGACCACGTAGGAAGTACGTAGCACAAAGCGGAAGTCGCGTAACTAGGTTGACTGCGGCATAACTTGACACACCCTGTTCTCTTCTTTACCATTTTTGCGAGCTAGTGAGAGTGGAGGAGCTACAAGAACGTGCTCCGGGCTTTCAACGTCCCTGGCGAGCAGGCGCGCTTGCGCAGTGCAAGTCAACGTTCGTGTGAGCATCATTCGGTGCAATGGCCATGTGCTCGTGCTTGTAGCTTCTGTTTCGATCGCACGATGTGGAACAAGGTTTAGGTAGGATTCTGGAACGTACAAAATGGCGGCGATGCCTGTTGTAAAACGATGGCTCGACCAACGCGCACACCAACGGGTTTTCCACGAGCACGCGGATGCCTTCGCGATACACGACGACTGCCTCCGCAGACAATACCGCTTGTCGAAAAGCACAGTGTGTCGGCACTGTCACAAGCTGCGCGACGAGAGACGGCGACCATGATGACCGTCGAGCAGCAGCTACTAATTGAATCGCGCTGACATTTTTTCGCAACGGGTAGCTACAAGGGCATGATCGCCCCCGATGATCACGTATCTAATGTACAGCCGATGGCGATCAGAGCCGTGATGTCGTCGCAAATGTCGTTGAATGCCAGCTGGGAAGAGACGGCTCGGCGGACAAAACCCCAGACCGAGCCAGCCAAGGCATCTGCCAACTAATGCTTTCGTCGCCACCATGCACGGCAAGCTCACCGATGTCGTGCGGTGCGTTGACCGAACCTAGAATTTAACTGAACCTTCGTCAGCATCATCGGGCTGAAGGAGACCGTCACCGTTCTGAAGGCCTCCTGCATTTTGGCGCGAATACCACTTTGACATTAACATCGTGGTGGTAAGTTGACGTTAAAACTTCAGTGTTTATACCGCTTCGAAGTTAGAGCATGCTTATTGCCTATGGCTACAGTTGACCATTTGTTGCGGTTGGTAGCAACCGTTATTCCCGCAATAAAGTCTTAGTGGGTCGGTGATGGTATTTTATTGTATCAAGTAAATGTTTCATCTTTTCACGCCAAGCCTCTGCAGTTCCATGCCAGTCATCGGACAGTCCTCTGAAGCACTGTTCGATGCTCTGCAGTGAACTGTAAGAACAGGTGGGTCCTAAAATGAGTCGTTATTTGATTAGCCAACAGGAGTTCAGTCTGCCAGAGTATCACATTGTTACCCACTGTAGACGAGAAATTTAGCCACTGCATTCTTTTGAATGGTTGTCACCTCCGTGATCAGAAAAAAAAATAAAATGGATCATAAACCTACTTTCCATCGAGCATAAAGGACAAGCGAAAGCAGGGTAGATGTGGGAAGGAAAAGCAAGCATTTATACTACAGAAATAACTACTTCGTAGCATATCTGCAACAATTTTGGTATTGTGGTACAAGCTAAGTGGCTATGCACGTGCTTATGGCAGCCTGTGATTGTAGAATGCTCCCCCATATGGCATCAGCCAGGGGCGTAGCCAAAATAAGAAAGGGAAAGGGGGGGGGGGGTGCTGGAGGCTTCGCGCCCCCCTTCCCTAAATCTGGCCGGTCCTATAATATATACAGAAATTGGGCCCCCTGCCCCCGCACCCCAAGTAAGTCATAAACATGCCAGCCACCTCAGCCCCCCTCCCCCTCATCCCTGCAAAGATCCTGGCTACGCAACTGGTATCAAAAACACTCAACAAATAGTCAACATTATTAGAATAAGCGAAAATACCCTCATTTAGGACACACTATATTCACTGTTACAGTAGCTTTTCATTCATGCAGGCAAAACACACACTTCAGAAAACACTTGTGAAGGCCGCGTTCACAATACTGTCCCCTTCAAACTTTCACGGCGTTAACAAATTCCACACACTAAATTTTCAACGAAACGCGTCAGTTTTACAAAGCTCCGGCAAACTTACATGGCGTTTAACAATTTCCGCCTTCGTCGTCTGATGGATCAGCAGTCAATGCTACACAAATCTCAGCGAGCTCATCGTATGACTCTTTTTTGTTGTTGTAGTTCTCCTTGAGGCGAAAGATGTATATGTGTTATTACGGGAAAAAGGCGGCGTGAGCGTTGTGTCCGAAAGATGGCCAAGAAATTACGTCATCAAGCACGCGCCACTCAAGGTTAAAGGGGACGTACCTCAGAAATAAAACAAAAAGAAAAGGACAGCAACGCAGATGCTTCGTCGCGGAAGCCGTGAAGCCGGCGGGGGGCTGCGCGCCTGCGCAGTGGGGGAGCGTGACGTCACAGCCGGAGCACCGTGTGCAAAAGGAAGACGTGGCGCGCTGCCTCCGTCGCGTCGGATGCGCCTCGGGTTTCATCTGTGCTCGCTGTCTGCTTCGTGGGATGTACGTACTCTGAGGCGACCGAGTCTACATCTACGGCCTCGACATCGGCACCAGCGTCTACATCGACTGCTGCTACCGAATACAATACAGGCAGAAACAACTTTAATACCTGTAGAAACATGACTCGAAAACATTACACCCACGGGATTATAATGCTCCTTTAGCATTCCTAAACGTAAACAAACTTAAATGTCTTCTTTTTTTTTTTGTCGGTGCATTTGCTAACAATTGTCAGCACATGTTTTTTTTTTTTTTTTATTGTTCGCGGTAGTTTCCGTACGAGGCAGCTCCGTGCTCGCTTGATGTCAAAAGAAGGTATGGATTATAGACGTGTAAGAGCACTAAATATCGAAAGGAAGATTTCTCCCGAATGAGTTTACTTTCAAGTTGGTCGCTTGGTGTGAAGGCGAGGTTTTAAATCTTAATGCACGGCAACGCTGAACAAAGGCCAGTTCTCACATGCAGCGAAGTGCTGATGTAGAGCTGCTCACGTGTCGTAAGCTACTTATCGTCTGCCATGAGCGACAGTTTTGACGGTTCCATGCTAAGCTGGTGAACGCTCCAGTCAGCACGCGCTTAGCGCGAGGTGAGCGCCAGGCCTGTAGCGCTCCGCTGCATCTGTGAACAGGCCTTTAAGGTATAGCGTCTTCATTGTCTCAACAACGCCGTCGTTACGAGCCACAACAAAACACCGTCACTTTCAAGCTTCATAACATCGGCACAGATACAAGCTGACCTCGTCAAGGGTTGTATCGAGGACGTTGAACGCCACCTCACCGCGCTCTTCGACCCGGTCCTGCCGCCGAATGGACTCATCCAACATCACAAAACTATTTGTGTGCGCGTTGTTCAAGCTACCGGTCATAAGTCAAACCCCACCCACAGACGAGCATCGCAGCCAAGTTCTTTCAAGTTTTGGAGCCATTAGCTTTCGTTTATTTCACCAAGGGTACAGTTGTCATGTTTAATGTAGATAATCCCGTGCATTAGCGGCAAACAGAGGCTTTCTATTTTCACGAAGGTTTCCATGGCAACGAGCGTTGAATCGTCACGCGCACTGAATCTAATGGGATAGCGACGTACGTACGTAGGGACGCGTAAAGACATAACAGCCGTTATCTTTCTTTTCTTTGTTTTTGCATCAGCTCTTGAGCAAGTAAAAAAGTAAGGCAAATAAATGCCCAAGATCATGCGGTCGCGCCACTTTGTTCAGCTGCGAAAGAAAATAGCGTGGTTTAAAGGGGCTACCGTCATATTTACTGTAGTAAGGAAGGGAGCAAAGAAATTACTAAGACAGCCCGAAGGAAAATTTGTTGCATCTTCCACCCTGTGTTCACAACCGATGCTCTTTGCGCCAATCTCACGACGTGTCAATTATTGTCACAGAGTCGTCGTCAGCGCGATATCCTTCCGGAGTCTCCTTCGCAGGCAAGCAGGACATTTCATTTGTAGCTTCTGCTGACGGCGGCTTCACAGAGGATGATCGGTGACGCGGCGTACCTTGACGACGCGCCATCCGTATCGTGCAGGAACAGGAAAGCCAACGACGCGAACGAGGCACCGACACCGCAGTATTGTTACCGCGGTTTTCGCCGTGTTTGTTTTCAAAGACCGCAGCTTTGCACTGAGCCGCAGGTCACACTACTCATACATCGTAGAAAAGACACGGTGTTCCCTTCAGACGTGATGCCATAGATCATCAGCTTCATACACATGTAGATTTCAAACATTTCTTCCAACACTTCTTGTGTGACGATTGCCGACCTACACGGAAGACCGAGGACAGTCCCTTTAGACTGTCTTTTTGTATGTTGTCGTAGAGGCGTGATTGTGGATTTCAGAGCGGCAAAGTTACACACGACTTAAATGTGTTCCTTGGTACCTTCTTGTCGTTAAAGTGGCACCCTTTGGCCGAAAAATGAGCATTCAATCATTTATACATTCACTTACTGCCATAGAAGCCTCTCCTTCCCCTCCCCCCTCCCCCCCCCCCCCCCCCCGCACTGCCCCCCCCCCCCCCCCTCCTTTCCCCCTGCCCCTATTTTTTGTGGAATGCTACAATAAGCCTCGAGGTACGAGTTACACAGCAATGGGGTACAGACGAAATGTTTAATGACGGATGGCATGATAATGGGGATGGCGTTGTGAAAAAGCTCTGCAGTACATGTCTAAGGCTATAATGTTTCTTTCTGTTATGTGCAAGAAGTGGCCAAATCGAACCTGATACCCTTAGACAAAATTTAAAAAGAAAGACCGTCCTCATTTGATACAATTATATTGCTACAAGAACTTCGCATTGATTTGCACCAGGGGTGTCTGTATTCAGCGGTTCTTTCATCGTTACAATTTGGGGCTCAGAAACACTGACAATCACAGTTTCTTTGGGGCCTCCATTGACAATAAACTGTCTCTCAAAGACAGTCTTAGGGTTCTAAAAGCAAGCTCGTAATGAACCTACTTCTCGCTTGTCCTCCTGACGTAGGACAGAAGAGAAAGAGCTACAGGTAAAACAAAGCACTTCCGTATTAGAGCCGATAACTGCGACGACCAGAGGAGGTCAGCATGAGAATAAATAATTAGGCTTCTACCGGGAATGGAGCGCCGCTCGCACCCTCTAGACAATAGAAGTGTGTCAACAGCTCGCCTCAAACACCTTAATAAAACCCTTTGTGACCAGATGCTAATCTCGAAAGTACGAGGCCCTTGAAAGCCCGTCGCAGAAATCCGATTTTCTTTCTTTCTTTTTTCTTTTCTTTCAGTAAATACACCACAGCGGTGTCTCGCCAGCGGACCTCAAACCTGGTACGATGATGTCAAGTGTGTCAAGTACACTTGCCTCAACGGTTTTGTGGGGACATCGAGGTAAATATTTAGCCAATATCTCGACCTGTGCCGCAAGCTTAGATAAAAAACAAAAACAAAACAGGCCCTTTTAAGTTAGGAAACAGCCACCCAAGCTTAAAAGAGAATAGACCTTTCAGAAAAGCATCACAAAGACAACGTTAACGACAACCACATTTTGAGCATCGTTCAATACGGGAAACGTGAGATGGGACGCGGGTTCACGCCGGACGCTGATTCATTACTTGTTTCCGATTCACACCCCGCTCTCGCGTCAGGTGGGTGGTGTCATAATCCAGGTCTACGAACTTGAGATCCAGAATGTGTTCGACATGCCCGCGGATTGGCCGAATTCGGACAAGAAAGAATCAAAGAGTGCGAAACTGAGAGGAGAGAATGAAACTTTGGGGAAGGAGTTTCGGTCGTCAAGAAATTAATTTTGTCGCCGGTCGTTAACCGAAATGGCGTCTTGTCTCAAGTGCTATACGCGACTCAAACTGTCAATAGGAGGCGCCACTTGTTTTCTAAAATGACGGTTATAGTGAGGGTCGGAGATGCGTGCTGGTATAATACTTGCTCAGACTGTCTAGTGTGCTGGCTTCACTGAGTGACACAACTTATCCCCGCTTATAGGAGGAAGCTAGGGTGTTTGGCCCACCGGTCACCTATTTATTGTGAAAACAAAAGCGGTGTTTAGCGCGATATTTACACCAGGAGGCTCGTTTTAATCCAGGAACGAAACCGAAACAAACTTCTATTGGATTGAATTACCCGATATAGGTGTTAATCTCGGTTTTTCTTCTAAATTCAAGACGTGTCTCACTCCGTAATTATTAAACTAACTAATAAGTTTGCGGAAACATTATTTTGTGACATACATGTCCGATCCAGGCAGTTCAAAAATATTTTGCAGAGTTCAGTGTCTCTTTAAAGACAGGGCCCTTCATACACCTTAGAACTATCAGGATACTGTATTTGTTGAAAAAATCTGTGCTGAGAATTTTGTGCGCTTCCTGTTTTTTCTCACTTAGATAATTGTCATGTAAGATAATGAACAGCGGATTGAGATTGGGAGAAAAACTTTAACGAAATGACTGCTCTTATTTCAAAACATTACCATATTGCATTAAATTTTACTCTCTGGGTAGATGTTTTAAAGTACCTACGGTTATTTTTGTGATATATACTTGTAACAAGTAGGCATAGTTTCGGTTTGCTTCAACCCGCTTGGTGCCATTTTCGAAATAATGCATAATTCTTTATTGAGACAAAAACACGGGACGGCAGAAGCGGATCAAAATCGGGACTGTCCTGGCCAAAACGAGACGTCTGGTCACCCTACGCTTTGGTCATACTATAATGCGCACCGCGCCTAAAAAGAGCTATAACAGTAACGTTCGGAATCTCCCCGTTCCCCCCACCCTCCGTCTCAACATAAAACTGTGATATTGAATGAGTTAAAACAGCGCAAAAAAGACGAAGGACCAGTAAAAGGAAACACACAGACACAGCGATGTGTCTGTGTGTTTCCTTTAACTGGTCCTTCGTCTTTTTTGCGCTGTTTTAACCCATTCAATATGACCATCAACCAACTCGCCCAACTTTCCACCTTGATAAAACTGTGCCCGGGTATTTCCATTGTCGTGAACTTTCTAGGACGTCTTGCAATCTAGAAGTGGTCATTTCATTGACTAAAGACCAACAACAATATGCCATCAAAAACAAACTGCTTTTTGGATTAACGTTTTATTGTAATAATTCAATTTACAAGCTCTAAGCATTCTAACAAACTTACATTCGTGCGCGGCCAATTTCCGCATTAAGAAAGTGATCAAAGTTCCCGACAATTACCCTCAGCACAGAACTACAGATGGCGCTACCGAACCTTGCTGAATGTGGGCGGACGACAGACCGCCTCTCGGCAGCCACTCGTGAGCGATGGGTTCCCACGTGGACGAGCGGGACTGCTCGGCCGCTTCGTCCACGCGGAGAACTTATCCCTCGCGAGTGGCTCACAAGAGCCATCCGTCGTTCGACCACATTCAAGCAGGGTTCGGGAGCGCCATCTATCGTTCTGCGCCAGCAGTAAAAAGTGTTGAGAACTTTGCTCACCTTCTTAATGTGCAAATCGGTCGCGCATGAATGTAATTTCGGGTTTGTTTAGAATACTTACAGCTCGTAGATTGAGTTATGGCCTTAAAACGAGGATCTCAAGAAGCATATTAGTATACTCCTTGAAGTAGCTGCTGACCATAGTACATTATGCGGCAGCGGTAGTATCTTTTCCTGTCCGCCGTTAAAACAAAGCCTTTTTTATCTCGCCTTTTTTTTTTCTGCTTAACCGCAGTTATTGGTAACAAAAACATAAATAGCACCTATCCCCCGATACGTTTTTACGCTTTTATTTTCACTTTCAGTTGTGGCAAGCACTCCTCGCAGCCACTCCCCAACAACTGCAAGTACGTGAAAGGAACGGGACGTTTTCCTGGATGCTGCACCAAACTCATGTGCCACGAAAGTAAGGCTCCATTTTCCTTGACGTTTAAAGCAGTGGAATTCTAGCTTCCAACTCAATTAATCGAGTCTAACTTCTTGTTTTATTGGCTTAACAAGCGGCATCCTCTTCGCGAATAAAATTTATAATTTTAATTAAACGTCCGAAAAATAATACATTATTACTGATCAAAATTGTAGTATAGTACCATTAGCATTAGCGTTAATATTAGTATTAATATTTGTAGTACAGTAGTTGTAGTAGTAGTAGTAGTAGTAGTAGCATGGGTGGCGGTAGTTAGTTACTGAAAGCTAAAAACAACGCACATTCTGCTTCTCACTATCGCTGCTCATCCAATGAGGTTGCGGAATAAGCCAACAAGAATGTCTAAGGATCAATCAGGAAGCAAGAAGCGTCAACATTGTAAGCCGTGCTGAGATGGGCACTGACAGGTCAAAATCATTTTTTAATGTTATTATCGGAAACGATTGAAAACGATGCCTGGACAGCCTTCAAAATTTGAAACTTGGAAACTTAGAATTCGTGAAGTAAAAGAACAATTTCAAAAGGCCCAATTTGGAACTTCCGCGCGACCCGCGCCAGCGCACTGACGTCAAAGATTGAGTCGTCCTGCAACTCCAGTTTCCCTTACACCTCCGAACCGCCGCGACCCGAAGTGTCTTGTTCGTCCGCGTCCGGCTCTCTTCCGTGCGTGCCGCCTCTCGCTGCGAGGAGACGACGCTTCACATTCGAGTCTGAAGTTCTTTTAGGGCCTTTACAGCGGTCTCAAATTCTTTGAAACGGGTGTGAGGTCGAAGAGAACGCGCAGTGGGCTTTTGTGAGCGACCTCAGGGGCCACGTCGCCCCGGTTCTGCGTGAAAGGCTGCCCTGGCCGAGTCACAACCGAAACTACGGTACGCAGACACCAAACCTAGTTGTTTTGACCGTTTGACTACTTCCTTTTTGAAGTCTCAAGGGTCGTCGGGCACCTAAGAAAGAGAACTTCGTCCGATTCCCCGACTGACCGCTCATCGTCAGTGCTACATATGCCGAGCGCCGCGGTGCCGCCATATTTTCCGAGGGAGGATAATAAGTCAAGAGGTGACATTGGTCCGGACTCCGATTTTCAGTATTTCAAGGAGGGCCATAGAGCGTTCAGAATTCCGTTATGTTTTTCAAATGCCGTTATTAAATACTATGAAAATCTCGCCTAGACTCCTTCTGAATTTCATAATCGTTTACGGCACAAATACAAAGACGTAAGGAGGTGAAAAAGAAGGAAATGCCACAAAACACGCGCGTGGGAGGTTTTCTTTTTTTTTTTTTTTGCGTTGTGGTATTTTTTGTGTCTAAGACATACTACTTACAGCGTTTTAGACAAAAAAAAAAAAAAAAAACAACCTTTGGGGTGTCAGTGCCTTTTTAAGCTCTCGGCGACTATAGCGAGGGACTGTACTATGCTACGCCGTCAAAAGAACAAAGATCCTCTATGACGGCAAAATAAGTGGTAAAAATTTAGTGTTCGTTAATTTTCTGCTAAAGCAAAACGCGCAAGTCTGCCAATCACGCATTCGCGCTAACTGTGTAGCGGAGTGTTTGCGGTGCGGTGCACTAATGACGCATCTTACTTCGTATATATATTTTTTTTTAAATTTGACTCCACCTATCCATGCGTCATATATAGTCTAGCAAGCCTCAAGTCATTCGCTTTTATTAAAGTGGTAGCTCTAGGAGCTCGTGTCGCGCCGGCGTCGGTGGCGTGCCAGGAAGCTGGCGTGGCAGAAAAACCGGCAGCGTCCCAGAAAATTCGCGAAAAATCTGATTGGTCGATAGCGTCATGGCGTCTCAGCCACATGACCTTGCGCAGGAATTTCAAACAGGTCCCACAACGCTCACGTGAAACATGGCGTCACGAGTGGGATGAAAGTGATTAAAACATGCCATACAAAGCAAATTAAAGGTCGCGGCATGCCTCAAACAATTTCACTTTATAATGTAATTCATTTGATTTAAATATAATATAATAGTTTATTTTCACTCCAAAGGAGTGTGGAGAGCAGGGGAAAAAGCTGCAGTTGCAGCTTGACAGGCCCCTGCCCCCAGCACTTGACATAGAATACACAATAAAATTCAAACTAAATAATCACTCAAAGCGTTGCAGAACATTTAAAGTCTAACCAACGAAGAGGTGGAGTTACAATAATACAGGCATAAACGCACAAAAATATATATACCGGGTCAAGTAATAATCAAGTAATGATAACGCTAATATTATAACTGGTGAATCAGCATAAATAACACACTATACATGCAACACGCCGTACATACACACATACATACATCACATACATGCCTACATACCTAGTCAAGTAAAACATAAGGTGATGAAATTGCAGACATCATGATGCACAAGAAAAACCATACGTACCTACTATACAACAAGGTCACATAAGAAAAATACTACAGCGAGAAACCATATAAGCATAAAGAAAAATTCGAAAACGTCGCATCAGTAAAATATGAAATGGGACTTCATGGACTGTTTTGTTGATGTTTCGAGTGTAATGTTTTGTTTTGCGAGGTTGTTAAGGAGAACAGGCAAGGTATGAAGTATAGATTGATGTGCGTACGAGGTTCTGACGGTTGGTATTTTCCGTGTTTCGGGCTGTCTGATATTATACGATGGTATGTGTTTGATTAGATTAAATAATTGTAGCAGTGGTGCGTTGTTTATTGTTACTGCATTTTTGTAAAGAGAAACTAGTCTGAAATCGTGCATTTTTAACACATTTATAATATTTAATTCATTAAAATACTTACGAGTTGATGTAATCCATGGAACGTTAGTTATAATACGTAGAGCCCTTTTTTGTGCGACGAGTAACTTTAACATGTTCTGATTTGTAGTTGTTTCCCATATGACATGACAGTAAGAGAGAGTCCGCAGAAACAAAGAATTATATAGGAGTTTTTTTTTGTGTGTGTTTTGTGGCAAAATATGTCTATGTTTATTCATCAAGCCATTAAGTTTGTTTAATTTCATGCCAACGTGGTTTTTGTGTTGGTCCCACGTAAGATGTTCCGAAAAGAAAACACCCAGAGCTTTAATTTCCTGAACAAATTCAATATTATTTCCGCCCAAGCAAAGGTTTGTAGACACACGTGCTATTTCATTTCTGGGTCTAAACAATAAGGCCTTTGTTTTATTGGCGTTAATTTTTAAGCAGTTCAAGTCAGCCCATATTTTTAAGGAAGAGAGAAAATTGTTAGCAGAAACTATAAGTTTGTCGGAATAAGTGCCAGTAAAAAACAAGGTTATATCATCAGCATGTGCTATTGACTGTACTTCGGTATTGATATTGAAAACGTCATTCATATAAATAATAAATAATAGGGGCCCCAAGATGCTGCCTTGTGGGACGCCTGATTTAATATCCTCAGTAGATGATAGTAATGAATTATGAGATACGCACTGCTTACGGTTTAGAAGATACGATTTAATTAGTGATAACATTGTTCCACGAACACCATACATGTCAAGCTTAGCAATTAAGATGTTATGATTCAAGTGGTCAAACACCTTAGAAAGATCTATAAAAATGCCGAGTGAAACCAGTTTTTTTCTTCAAAAGCTTCAATAATTATCTCTTTCTGCTTTATGAGCGATATCTCAGTCGACATATTTTTCCGGAAACCAAACTGTGAATTAGACAAAAACATATGCTTGTTAAAAAAAAAGTTAATTAAGCGTGAATGGATGATTTTTTCAAGTCCCTTGGAAAATACAGGAAGAATAGAAATAGGCCTATAGTTGGAGAGATTATTTATATAGCCTCATTTATAAATCACGGTTACTTTAGCGGTTTGCATTCGTAAAGGAAAGGGACCTGTTTCTAACACTAGATTAAATATGTATGTGAGTATAGGGGCAAGTAAATCTAATACGTATTTTATTGGCTTTATTTGTAAATCATCTATGTCACGAGATTTAAAAGTACAACTTAAAAGTTAAAAGTTTAAGTTAAAAGTTTAAAAAGGACAACTTTGACGAATTAGGCGGGATTCGAACCCACACCCCTTTGGTTAATATTAGGGAATTTCCGTAGACCGCGTTGCCCCCTCCGCTAAGCGTTCCGCAACGAAGAAGTTGCTACTGCGCCTGCGCGCCGATAGCCTTGACTGTGGAGTTCCCGCTATCGTAGCGGGTTGCGGAGGGCCCTTGCGGGACGGCAAAAACGATCAACGAAAACTCCCTATTAGTACTACTAGTTCGTAGCTACCGAAATGAATCGCCAAGGCGTAGGAAGAAAAGAAGAGACTCAACGGTTAGACGTTTAACGCAGCTTTCATGTTGCAACAGACTACGGCGTCCGTAATAAAAAATTAAACTGTTTTTTGTTCTGTTTCTCTTTCGTTTTCGTTTTTACCGCATAAATAAATCAGGCATCGCAGAAAGTTGTAACCAAGAGTGAACCCGTGACGCTAGAGCTGGTAAAACAATGTAGAAGTATGAGAACAGCTTCGGTACCTGATTCGAAAGATGAAACAAAACAAACAAGAATTGAATAAGCCGGCGTCTACTTAAGCCTAATACTGTCAAAACAAGAAATAACATTATCACGGAATATGACATTTACTTCAGTGAAAACCAGGGGCGAGCAACAAAGAAAACAAGATTGAATGTCTTGCTGACAAGTTGTTTCCACCTCTTCACCTTTCAAAGATTAGTAGTTTATTTATAAAAAAAAAAAAAAAAAAAGATTGGCCTTTTTTTTCTTTCTAACGAACCCTTTATACCAAACTAACAAAAGGTCCACAGTGGTACGGTCTTCAGAATTTCAGCCCGCAAACTTACGCAAGAGCAGAACGCGAGAATCGAGTGTCCATTTTGAATATGTAACTCAGTGAGGCTATTACGCTACACCACAGAATGGTTAAACGGTCATTTCTGCTAACTTAAAGAAGAAAAGTAAGGGAGAGAAGAAAAAATGGCAGCGACTTTTATCTCTAAAGTCTTATATATGCATTAAATGCAGATTTAAAGGTATCTTTTATATTCGGCCAGATGACAATAAAGAGTCGTTTCGGGGAATGAAAAAGAACGTATATTTTCAACTATATCCTGCTAAGCCTAACGGGAAAACTAACAGTTGCGTATTTCACGTGACATTAATTTACCCACCCGATTTAGCGCCGAAACTGAATTTGTGTTTAGGTCACGTTAGGTAAATTTCACAACTAAATTTAGCGTGGAGACTGAATGTGTGTACATACGTCGTGTACGTCTGATTCTATGACGTAAATTCCCCCGCTAAATCTAGCGGGAAATGAATGATTACAATTTCGGGATTGAGTCTACCGTTGGAAAGCGTTTTATCCTTTAACAATGAAACAACAGATATAATGAACGAATCCTTATGGAAGGACATAGGGTGAGAGCAACTTATGAATGTCTTTCGCAGACGGCCCCGGTAAGGTGTTCCAGAAGGGAGTCGGGCCGATCGTGCCGTTCCGGGGTCGCCAAGCCAGCGAAGAAGCGTAGCCTTCTCTGGCACAGCAGCGGCGGTCGATGCAAGAAGCGAAAACCGGACCAGGCTACAAAAATATTGTTCCTTTCCGGTTTCCCTCTAGAGGGTAAAAACTTGCTCGATGGCGCCATCGCACTAGAAGCTTGAAGGGCACATCTTCACGTCGGAAACAAACGAGCTAATAAAGTACATTTCGTATCGTGCTTGCTTTTCGTCTGCCGCGAGCGTCAGATATGTACGGAGGTTGCAACGCTTCTTGCAACAAAAAAAGAAAAAAGCAGACGACTATTAGAATGTGGTTGAGTTTCTACATAATTAAAAAGACTCGAGGTTAGGGTGACCACCTTCTTGCTAGCGGAATGCGGGACACGGGCCGAGGGGGTGGGGTGGGGGGGGGGGGGGGGGGGGGGGGGGGGTTGAGGAAATTTATTAACACACACACCACGAACCGAGGCTTTGTTAATACATTTAACATCGTGTGCTGTTTATACACCTGCTAATTGTATTGCAGCAATTAAGCTCGATTAATGTTTACTAAAAATAATATATCTCTTATGGTAAATGTGTTATTAAATGTGTTATTAAATGTGTCGAAGTTGAAAACATAAATATCGACTGTAGCCGAACTCAATGCACCAGATAAAAATAAGGAACATTAAATCTCTTTCGGGTTATTGTTTCCTGTTAACGCTTACCTTTATCAAGATAGTCAAACACAAAGTTTTAACATTAGGTTCTTTTTCGACCGTTCCCAGTTGCAGGCTCTGCCTTGTGTGGCTGTGTTCACTAAAACAATGATCCACAGTAACCCTTTTGCATTGACAGAGCAATTTGAAAATAATTACAATATTTTCTATTAAAACTTTTGGCAAGCAATCTCTCTTAGAATAATTTGCCACCAAGGGGAGAGGCACAACGGAGCATGCGCGTCGGTTCTCCTTCAAGAACGACTGTCGTTTTCCGGAATGCTTGGATAGAAAATGGTGTACCATTGCGATTCACACGATTACCAGCGACCTCCGGGCTTCCCCGTGCCCCACTGTTCGGCAGCGCCATAAGTTGCAGAGTGAATTTTACTACAGTATGAAATGCTGGACATTTTGAAGGTTTGGATTTCGCTCGCGGGAAGCGGGACACAAGCCCTTAATGCGGGACAGTCCCGCGAGTCGCGGGACAGGTGGTCACCCTACTCGAGGTATACTTAAGTACTTCTTGTGAGTTGTGGATGCCAAAGTATAAATGTCGTTCTTGCGCGCGTCCTCGTGAAGTTGCCGCGCCTCGCTGACACCGGCCGTGCCGCCGCTCGGTATTCGGCGTGGAATCGGCAGCAGGAATCGGCTGGCGCAGGCACGCAGCGCCATGGGGTGGCGCTGATTGAAACTATAACGCGCGGTGGCCACCTTCGCCTTCATTTCCTTGCCGCTTTGCGTGGCTTATTGCGCGCCTTCAAAGCTAGGATACCTCAGACTGCGGCTTCACGACTTTATCCGCCATTTGGCGTGGCTGATGACGTCGGCTCGCTCCATGGGACCAGTTAATGCTTTCGCATTAAAACACATTGCCAATCAATCAATTAATCAAGCTACAAGAATGCGACATGTGCTTTGCACCGCTAAAGCATAGCGGAAGATCTCATACACGATTTCGAACAGCAGCTAAAAACGTTTGGAAGTCGTCTGCTACATCAAAAAGAGGTCGGCGAGCCTCGTGCGCCGTCAGTGATGATGGTACCTAGCGCGCAATCTCGGGCGCATAAAAACAAAAAACCTCAACTATCGGAGGAAAAAGAAAAAGAAAGATAGCCACAGGAAAAAGTGAGGCAGGTTGCAAAGAAAGTGGGGGCAATCGCAGGAAAGTGGGGGTGGCACGCATATACGAAACGGAACAAATCTGAACGTTCTGTGTAACATACAAAGTAAACTCACGTTTGTTTGTTACGTGCACAGTTATTTGATATTGAGCTCGTCTCCGGTGTAAAGATTACTTACCTTAAATTACGTGAGAACACCTGTTGGGAATTTGCCATAAGGATTTTATCGACTTCCACGGCCACTGTCAAGTCCGAAAGCATTATTTTTCAAGAAAACAGGGAAATTCCTTGTTTTCTCTGGATGTTTTTTTTTTTCTATTAAAATTCAAAGACTGCCCCAAGAATATTAGTGCGGCGGAAAGTATACCACTGAGGGCAAAAACCTAAGCGGTAAATTCTGGTGACCATCAATATTTTGTGTTCGGTAAAATGCGAAAAGTGCGGATGTGTTCGCGCTGACAGTGTTTCCCGGTGTACATGCTGTGCATCCTTGGCAAAAAGCAATACAAATTAACTATTATACGTGTCTAGTTTTATGAAATAAAAAATACACTAAAAGTATATTTCTAGCGTATCTTAAATATATTAAGCATACTCTTAAGGTGAGGCAGAGTAATTTGAGAACAATGGACCGGGAAAATGTAATAAGTGAGAGATCCGTAATTGCGGATTTGCTATGCTAGGAGTTTATTGCATGTATTTCGACAGTTTTCCCGAGAGGCTCGGCTTCGTCAGGAGATGGCATACATGTGAGGGCATCAGACTGCGCAAAGGAGTAAGCGGCCAATGGGGCGAGAAGGACGTGACGTCAGGAGAAATAAAAGTAAAAAAACATACGAAAAAGAGCACACATATTAAAACAAAATCAAACGCCCCAAAAAAAAAAATTTTTTTTTTTTTTACTTGAACGCGTTCTCACGGTAGCCTCGGTAGGGCGGCGGGTTTCAAAGCTAAAGAGGCGTATATGAGATTTCCGACACTGCGGTGGGTACAATAGGTCATAAACGGACGGCACGGGCTCTGGAACGACATCTGCGGTACTAATGGCTCGTAAGGCTAAGCCGTAGTGGGCGTCCTCCGTCTCCGCGACGGTCACCCCGCCTCCCCTTGGGCGCCGCACCCCGCGGAATATATACATTCAATGTGTTCTGAATTCTAGCGGTGCGATCCCCGCGTTGAGCCACTCTGGCGAATAAAGCTTGCATACTAAAAGTGCACGTTTCATGCAATATTAGTAAATAAAAACATACTTTGAATATGGCTGGCGAGGTGTTGCATAAACGTTCAAAAGTAATATACTTTTAGCATAGTACTCTTTACCAAAAGCAGAAGACGTTTTCCGTGCCAATTTTATCCCGAATTCGAGCGAAGCTTGTGTGTTAGAAAAGCGAAGCCGTAATTTGTAATGCCATGCGGAAGCTGGAGATGTCAAAATAGCATACAACCTATTTTTATGTATTTCGGGAGGCGACGGAATGCCGGCACGAACCACACGGAAACGCGGATTGCAAAACACTGCCAACAGTTACCCGCATATTTAGTTTACAAACGCGATCAAAGATGGCGCCACCAATCCAGAAAGACGATTATAGCCTGCGTTGTGTTACGCGTTTGTATCTCTGTTCGTCTGCTGGGAATGGGCGCATGTGTCCTGAGGCACACGGATATCCTGAGCAAAGGTAGCGGCAAGAGCGTAAAAAAAAAAAAGGAAAAAAAAACGATGGACGTTGTGGTGGTGTTTAGCGTCAATGCAGGCAGGCGGACTTGCAGTAGGTTTACCAAGGCAAGCTCGAGTCAAAGAAATGGCTGCGGGTGAACAACTACCTGTGTGGTAATACATAACAACGACGTGTGTTGTGCACCTATTTCCCACACATAACCAGAAACACACCTGAGACACAAAGAAACGCGCGCTTACGCAAACGGAATCAGAAGAGCAAATCGGCCCAAAGACACAATTATAGTATACGGACGATCACACAACCGGATACACGCGCCCGAAAACATACACGCACAAAAACTTATATAATGCACACAAACGAGGGTATTTATTTCCACTTGTTCCGTGAGCTAGCACTATGGTCGGTGACAGGTTAGGAGTAAGTTTATATCCTCCCTAACCCTTTTCACTTTAGTAGAGCGAACGCTGGAAAGGAGGTTGCCTTCTCTCCAGCGTTCGCTCAGCTGAAGTAGAAAGAGGTGGGAGGAGCTTCGACTTTACTTTTAACTCGACTAAACGGAAGGGCTTGAGCAAAATAACAGTAACTTTGTCAACCTTTCTGAAATCCTGCTTCTCAGAAAGCACCGAAGTAAGGCAGCGGTTCAACGGCGGCCATATTGAGTACGAGACGTTTCTGTTCTTTGATCATAGTTTTAAATAATTTTTACAACAAGAAAGAATCCAAGTTCGCAGAAGTAGACCTTTGGGCATCGAGCTGACATTTGAACCCGTGCACTTAAATATAGCACACATCTTCGTTCATACCGTTAGAAAAATAAGTATCATACAACCAACTCAAGGTAACTGTAGGAACTTCTGGAAGTTGTCGTTGGTTACGTTAGAGCAAACATTTATTTACACAGTACACAAGCAACAAAGCAGCTCATCTGACGTGTCGATCTCATCTGTTCCGAGGCACGAATAAATTATCAGTACCAAATTTCACGTAATCTTGCTCTTCAAACCTACAACGCCCAGATGAGTATGCGTCTCATTTCTTGAATAAAGCCGAGTCCTTAGAAGACAATCAAAATTCCGGTCGAGGTACTCACGCAAAGGGACACACGTCGAAAGGTCCCGAGCTGGTCGAAATTAATCTCCAGTCATCTGTTGGAGCATGCAAGATTCCCTCGGCGATTGTTTCGGCACGTAAACTTGGCAAAATTTGTTTTTTTCCCTTGGCAAAAAAAAAGTCAAAATAAATCATCCCACGTTGAGTTTTCCGATGTACTTCTCTCTCTCTCTCTCTCTCTCTCTCTCCCCCCCCCCCCCCCCTCCCTTGTATCTGACTAATTAGAGCTCCAGTTGTTTTAGCTGTTGCTGCTGTTATACGATTCTCACGTCTTCTCTGTGTCGTTATTCTTTTTAAGTCGTGACGTACAAATCCCAGGAAACATCTAATGACATCAAAGGGAGCGCACGGAGTGTGTGTGGTGCTAGCAACATCACATTTCAGACGTTTGTTACGAAGAGGACATCACCGC